TTATTATTTGAGAAAAGCACGTAAGAATTCTCAGATTTTTGGTTGTTGCATTTTTTCAACTGAAATCCAGAATTATTTTGTGACATAAGCCCATCCAAGTATATTGAAGTATACTGAATAACTTTTTTTTCTGTTGTGTTTGACAACAAAATCTTAAAAATTGAGAAACATGGAGCAGCTCTACCCTCTTGATAGCTCTTATTTGCATTTATTTACTGGCACTGATCACTCATTGTTTTTATAGCTCTACCCTCTTGTCTCAAATCACACTGCTGGAACCTCAGTGCCTGTAACGGGCAATCTAACAAAAAAGAATGAACAGAATGCATAGTGTGCCTGTAACTCAAGAGCAAAGAAAAACCAAAGAACACACTTGTCAAGAAATTATATAATTCCACATCCTACACAGGTTTCTGATCTTTTCATTCAGTCTTTTTCTTTTGTTTCTAGTTGATGTATTGTGTCAATTTGTAGAAAATGTTTTTTCTTTGTTGCTAAGAAAAAAAAAATGAAATATATTTTATCTTCAGTTGTGCTTGATTCTCTAGTTGCTCTGCCCGTTCCATGCGGAGACCATGTACTTGCGTGGTGAGGGTTGCAACAGATTATGTACATTGGTTAATGACCTGTAACACATCTTTAAATGTAGGCTCCACAACTTTACTGTCCTCTCCTACTCCTCTGCCATGGCCATGTGGCAGTGGTAGAAAGGCAGGAGAAACAGGGGAAAGATCAGTTTGCTCCTCCTCCCCTACCTTCCTATCCACTGTTTATGAACAGTGAGTCCCAACATACAGGTTTCCTTCCAATCAGTAGACACTGAGGCTCAACCTGTGTTCATTCCACTCCCCTCTTCCCCTCCTCCACACAGGTATGTTGTGCCTTATCTATGACCTTATCTGTTTGGTCTGTAGTAATTATTATTGGTTTAGAGGACTGGGATTTAGCCGGCACTTGCAATTGATGTAATGGCTCACCTCCTGATTTGTGCTGCTTTTCATGTTGTTCAGAAGACATCTCCTCCTGATCTCTGCATTTCTCATGCTCTGGAGTTCTGTGGCGCAGGGGCTGTGTGGTGCCTCCCATAACCCATGGTTGGCCACACTCTGCTCCCCCTTCCTGTGGATCATGGCTGAATAGGCAGCCCAGGGCTTTACCATGCTGCTCCTCTCAGCACATCAATCCTGGACAAGCACCTCTGTGCAGCCCACCAACAGCATGCATTGCAAGGCACTAAATCCTCAAGGCCCCACTGAAGGACCCTGGCTGCCATCTCACCAATCCCGCCAGCTGCCGAGACACAGCCCCGGCGGATCAGCACGTCCATCTCAGATTTGGTCCTGCAGTGGACCAGCCAGGGCCACCCTCATCCACCTGCTCTGAAATCCCGGCCAGATGTCAGGGGGTGAGGCAAATGAGGCAAGCTTTGAGTCAAGGATTGTGAAAACCATAACAGTTGAAATAACCTCCATCTGGTGGGACTTCTGGAGCGGGTAGAGGGTAATAACCCAGTTAATTTTGCACCTCAAAGGCTACTTAAAACTGTGACTAAGGAACATCTATCTACATTATTCGCAGTGGATCGTGTTTATAGGGTACCAGTGAAAATGCAGCCAACTAGCTACAGCAAGGGATGCACTAACACATTCGAAATTTTAAATATTTCTTATTACTTTTTTCAAAAGTTATTTAGCTCTAAAGTAAAGCATACCTATCGGGAGATGCAAGATGTTCTACATTTTACAATGTTCCCATTATTGTCTGAAAATTTTACACTTTCTTTAGATGCTCCACTGAGAAAGTTAGATATGTAATATGCACGCAATTGGTTCACGATTTTCTGGTAGGAGTCTCCACCATCTGGTCCATGAAATTGTCGCGCAACATAATTAGAAATTCGAACCCGAAGTTTCATTGGCCCAATTGATGTCTGGGTAATTGAAGTCACCCATCACGACTACATTGCCCTCTCTCCCAGCTATTCCTATCTGTGAGTGAAGATTGACTTCTCCCTCTTCCCCTATATTTGGAGGTTTATAGCAAATACTCACTCTCCATCTACAGTGTTAGATAAGTTGGCTCAAGCCCTGATGACTAAAGGTCTGATATCATTGATTTATACACAACTTCAAAAGTTTCTTGAGAAATATCCCTTTCAGTGTAGAGAGCGGTGGGTGGAAGAAATAGGAGATAAATCTAATGCACTCTGGGAAAAATTATAAGTATCCCGCAACGTGTATTTCTATTTCTGATACATAGGCTGACCCAGTTTTATACTATACATAGGGGTCTATTCACTTTGCTGCCGAGGGCAGCCGAGTGAATGACCGATCAGAAGTGAAGTGAGCCGAACACTGTTCGGCTATTCACTTCAGGCTGGTACGGCTGATTTCAGCCGTACATCGGCCTGCTTCGTGTGGCTTCGGGGCGGCCGGACATGCTCAGCATGTTTGGCCGACCCGAAGTGCAGAAGGAGTTCGACTCAGCCGATCCAACATCTGGATCGGCTGGGCCGAACCTCCGGCCGGCTTCTCACTGCTGTTCTGGCTATTCTTAAAGATGCCGAACAGCAGTGAGTGAATAGCCAAATGCCACCGAGCGGCATTTGGCTCGGCTGTTCTGCTCGGTCCCTCAGAGGGTCCCTCTGCAGAACAGAAAAAGAGTTAAAAAAGGTAAAAAAGTAAATAGAAAACGATTGTGCGGAGCTAGCAGTGACAGCTAGCTCCGCCCAATAGTTTCCTATTGTCCGGCGGCTCTGCTGCTGTAAAA